CGCCGTGCTGGCGGGGGAGGCCGCGGGGGCCCGGGGGGCTTTCGGGTCTTGGGCCCAGAGCTGGGGAGCCGCGTTCTTGCACCCCGGCGGCAAGCCGGAGCTTCTGCGGGAGCCGGCTGGAAGCGGGCGGGCGGGGGTGAGCTCTCGCAGCTCCGGTGGGTGCCGGGCGCGGTTAGGCACGCAGCTGGCGGGAAGGGAGGGTGCAACGCTGGCGACAAACCCGGCTTCCAGGTTGTGAAAGTTCCCCTGTTGGGCTTGCTTAAAATCAGTAATTTAAAAAAAAAAAAACAAACCAACCACAACTTTAGAGCAGATTTTGAAGCTTGACCAGTTCTAAGTTCAGTGGGTCGTACACCTGAAAATACCAGCCTGTATATTGTTAAACTAGAATAATGCTCTGGAAATTTCTGGTTCCGTATTGCACAGCACGGAGCCACATGACAAATGGAGATGGGCAGGGTCATTTCCCACCAGAGCATCTTCCTATGTTGTCAACAAAAAAAAAAAAGAGGAGGTCATGTGAAGAGAATGTACCCGCTGCTGTAATGGCTGGCGAAGCAGTAGAATTCGGGGGCAGAAAGTTCGTCAAATCGATAAAAAACTTTTCCCATAAGAAATTTCTGCCTGACAATAGCAGGAAGTTATCCTTTGTCGTCTCTCTTCTGTTCCCACAGCTCCTCTTTTTAAACAAAAAAACCTGCTCAGAGTACAAAATCTGCTGTTACTGATCTTACAGTATTTCCGATGCGTGTTTTGAATATTTATGATCTCAGGTAGGAGTCAGGGATGCGTAATCAAAATAGAATCGATCGTTTGCTGCATAGCTTCCTATACTTCAGAACTCCCTGCCGTGAGCTCACCAGCTCCTAGCAGTAACAAAAGGGGGTATAGCACAGGCACAATAAGCCAAGGCCGAGGCACGCAGTGGATTAAAGCTTTATGCTGCAGCATGGTTTGTACGGTCGCGTTGCCGATACTGCAGTCTGTTCCCCGAGGCTTCCGTTGGAATACAGTTTTAGCCTGGACAGTGACTCGGTGTTGCATATGGGTTGAAATTCTATGTTGTGCTTCTAAATACAACACAGTAACTTTTAAAAACAATTTTCTTGTTTCATATAGCTGTATTACCAAGTCTTAAATTTTGCTATGATAGTGTCTTCTGCCCTTATGATATGGAAAGGGCTGATCGTCGTCACCGGGAGTGAAAGCCCTATTGTTGTGGTGCTCAGGTAAGTCAGTGTAAAGGCTTTTTTCTTAAAGTCCAAGTATTGTTTTTGTCCTTTGTCCCCTCCCCTTCCCCCTTGGATAGATTTGGAGTTTGAAATCTCACCTACTTAAAGAAGTACTCAAACACTTATTTTCTTGTAACTCTGTTTTTGGACACTTAGCAAAGGCCACTTCCGTAATTGCAGCCTAGTTTTCACTGAAGTTTGTAGCAGCAGTAGATAACGAGCCAGTCCTGCAGGCCCCCGAGTGCTGCTCAAATACAGGAGGTTAAACATGTGTTCATGGAAGATTCAGCCTTGCAGGAATCGGGTGTGTGTCAGCAGGGAACATACGCAGTAAATAACAGTGTGTTAGTGGGAATCACCTCTTCGTGTTATTAGTTACGGGTTGGGGAATCCTACCTTAAAGGCTGCTACCAAAAGATACTATGGCTGGCTTTGAAAAAAGGCATGGATATTCTGATCATTAATAGTAATCGCTGGTGTAAGTGTAACTCTTGCTCATGTGAATTAAACTCTGTCCACTTCCTGTGGTACTGCGAAACATTTTTGGGGTTTTTACTAGTGGATTGGTTTTCTTAACCAGAGTGGCTCGTTTTGTTCCTTCCTCATAGCCACGATACCGTTACTTTTCTGTACGGCTTCTTTCTTCCATTGAGGCACTAAGAAAGTCCTCTGTAGCCTGGCTCAGCCTGGGACGTCCTGAGGTTTGGGTCGTGTTGAATGTCTGTGTAGCGTTACTGAATGGGTGAAGCTACAGATTTCAGTTAAAATCGTGAGTTTATCTGTAAGGATTAAATATTCTTTGTTTTCATGGTGGTTCTCTGACTTACCGTAATGCTAATAAACTCTCTCTCTTTTTTGTTTGTAGTGGCAGCATGGAACCAGCTTTTCACAGGGGAGACCTGTTGTTCTTAACAAACTTCCATGATGACCCAATCAGAGCTGGTGAAATAGTTGTTTTTAAAGTTGAAGGCAGAGACATTCCAATAGTTCACAGAGTAATCAAAATACATGAAAAGTAATGCAACTTGGAATTTTCCTTCTTTCTAAATATAGTTTCCTTCACCGTGGCTTTCACTTACATTTTGGTTTGGTAGTATTTTACGAAAAAGGCGAGTGAGGATGTGCTGTAAGATAAAACTCATCTCTAGGATGTGATCCGCTGCTGCCCCCAGTTCTGTGGCGCTTCTGGAGACCCTGACTCCCGTCCCTCGGCAAAGGTGCCCAGGTTCAGATCCGCTGCTGCCCCCAGTTCTGTGGCGCTTCTTGAGACCCTGACTCCGTCCCTCGGCAAAGGGGTTCGGAGTAGGTAAACCTGTGCCAAAGAGGAATCCAGTAGCACGAGCTGTGCGCCTTGGTTTTGCCAGCAGTAGCCATGTGTATGGGAGCAGAGTCCACTTCTGTACTGACTATTGTAAGAATTGGGATTTTGGTTATGAGAAATAGCTGCTTCTAAAAGCAAATCTCTGAAAGGCAAAGGTTCAGAATCAGACCTATAGATGGAGGTTGACAAGCGTGTGATCTTTGCTAACTGGAGTTTTCCAGAAAAGAGATTTGACTGAGAATGAAAGACGAGATTCTTACTCTTTTTCATCTGTTAGTCACAAAGCCAACCACAACTCATGCTGAAGAGCAACAGGCAGATGACTTGTTTTCACCTCTATTGCATATCCCTGGTACAATCAACAGTTCCCTCTCGGACAAAGAGAGGCAATTCTGTTCCTAACTCCGCACAGCGAAGAGCTAACCTGGGGGTGGTGAGCATTGACATATTTGCTCCTCGGGAGGTCCTGGCCATGAACTGGAGGTGTTTATCTTTTGAGTAATATTTGTTCTTCAACGCATTTTTGAAACAAACATGTATATCCAAGAATTACCTTTTTTTTTTTTTTTTTTTTGTAAAAACTCCTTGTTTCTTGATACCGTTGCTTGCAATTAGCAGCTTCTTGAGCAAAATAATTTTGAAGGCTGTAAGCTTAACTCTATTTAAATGGGAGTGTTGAACCGCAGCCTTGCATGCGTTATCTGCACATACGCCTGATGCTTGAAAGGGAGCGAAACACGGCAGGTTTTCTAACAGCAGTGGTTAAATTATGCCATGGTCAAAGCGCAGGGTAGGATACTTTGTTCATCTGAAACAGCAGGGAGGGGTTATGATTTGGGTGTGTTCAGGGTTTTAAACCTCTATTCCTACAAAAAGGACTGGGCCACCTCAGTGGCCGGGAGAGGTCGGGACGTCGGCTCCAGCTGCGAGGGAGCAGCCTGGCTCTCTGAGCTCCGGGGGGGAGCGTGCCGCCTACTGAGGCGCTTCTGTGCCTTGCATTTTTCCATACAGTCCCCTAAAAGCACCACGTAATGTTTGGGCCGCATGATGTCACTGAAAGACTGGTGACATGTATTTTTTTTTTATTTGCCACGTTAATAAATACCAGATGTAAGTGAGGCTTTGCCTGGAACTCGCTGTATTGTTTAACAGTTAACGAGTGACCCAACCCGGCATGGAAGCGTTAGTGACAAAATACTGAATTGGGTGCAGGTTTGCAGCAACTTTAGAGGCTCCTCAATATTTCTTTCCATCAAAAGGAGGACAAAGCTTTATTTTGACATAAGTGTGATTGCTAAGAGTTAAACAAGGGTATAGAACTTGGAAGAAAATTGCCTAAAGCATTGTATTGTTATGCCACTGTCTTTCCCAAGGAAAGAGTTTTGGGATCGACCTCATCTGAAATCTGTGTTTCAAATTCAGTTGAATTCATTCAATTAAATTTGTTCTCTAATATGTGGTGACTTCACAGGATCTTATTCCACAATTTGTAAACAAACAAACAAATCGCCAAAAAAACCTCTTTTAGGGTATTATTCAGTATTTCAGGGTTAAATTTCTGCTCTGTTGAAAATGCAGAGTTGGGGGTTTTTTCCCAGGTAGGCATGTCCTGGTTTTGTTGAGGAGGTTTAGTGCCTGCTCTGGATGGACAATTTCTCTTTCGCGTTTGCTGTGTAATTGCTTACATCAAACAGCTATCTAGGAGTGTTCTAAAAGGCATTTCTTGTTAAAATCTATTGACTCTGTCAGTAAAATCTGCAATGTTAATGATTTAATGGTGTGTACTTCCAGTTCTGCTTATTTGACAAACATTGTTATCTAATCTTGTAGCACTTTTCATCTTCATTGTGCTTTGTAGATGTTAATTCAGGTTTTTAAATTAAGTGGTATTTAGTTTATCACCTTGTTGCCTTCTAGAGAAAATGGGAACATCAAATTTCTGACTAAAGGTGATAATAATGAAGTTGATGATAGAGGCTTGTACAAAGAAGGTCAGAACTGGTTAGAGAAAAAAGATGTTGTTGGAAGAGCAAGAGGGTAAGTACCGCAAAATGTCGATGTTCCTCGTAACTAGAATAGAAAATTTAGCATTTAAATCGGTACTGTCGTTGGTACAAACTAGATCTGGCATGGTGGGGTTTTCATTTCTTAAATAGTAATTTAAAAAACTGCTTTACCTGGAAAAGTTGCTTTCTGTAGTCCTCTCGCGGATGTGGATAGTGGAAATTAATGTTTTGGAAACATGGCACATTTAACAAGTAATTTACCAGTAAATACAAAATTAGCTGACTTATCCTGGTAATTGCTAGAAATTACTAGGAAATTATTTCCACATTCCAAAGGAATTTTATGCAAAAACAGGTTTGAGCTTTTGACTTTGTCCCCTTCCCCAGCTGAGATGAAATTGCCAAGATTTTTCTCAAATAACTTGATTAAATTTTTAACTAAGGGGGGAAAAAAAAATACTTGGCATTCAGATACGCATTAGCAGCAAGCGTGAACGATGGTTTCACACTGTTCTTACTCGGAACGCTTTTGCTTAGGGCCGGTGGCAAAGTATTGCTTGGGCCATGAGAGTCCTAGCGGTGCGGTGAGGAGCTTGATGTGAGTTCTGCTGTGTCCCGGAGGCTGCGGCTGCTGTCACAGGCCAAGCCCCTGGGAAGCTGGACTTCTCCTGCCGCGTCACATACTTGTGTATTGTCTTGCCCAATTCAAGAGTTCCAGAGTTGTCATAAATGTTTTGTACTGTTACACATTAATCCTGTATTTAATTTGCTTGATATTTATTTTTTTTTTTAAATTCTGTCCCTGCCTTCAAGTTCAATAAAAAGAAACAGAACAAGTGCACCTCTAAGGCTTTAGTGCTGGTAGACTAGGTTAAATGCTAACTTAAAATACATTCCGTACTAGTTTGAAACCCTTCCTATGGCTTTCATATGGCTTTCATAGCTGAAAAGCTGGTTCCCCTGTGTTGTGGGGCGTTAGGCTTTTGTGCGTGCCCCATGTCACGATGATATTTATTTGCCATTTCCGGGCTCCAGGTGTATTTTTAATGCTGTGAATAATACACAGCAAGATGAAGCATGGGAGGAGAGGGAAACCCGAGAGACCTTCCTCCCAAACATTCATTTGGTACATACTGTCTTTAAAGCTCTTGCTGTCTGTCTGATTCTTTTTTTCTTTGAAATCCATAATCTAAAGTACTCAAGACTGAGTAACACTGCAGCATTTCCATGTAGTATTTGAGGGTTAATTTTACCTTCATCTGTTTTGTCGATTACAGATTTTTGCCTTATGTTGGTATGGTAACTATAATAATGAACGACTATCCAAAATTTAAGGTATGTATATTTCGCACATTTAATTTAAAGCTATAAAGTAGCAAGTAAAGGTAGTAAGGATCTTGCCTATAAAAATACATGTTAATAAATTTGTTTCTGCGGTTCGGTACCTAGTGTAAAACGAGCTGGTTTGTTGCTTATTTTAGCTTGTCTGTTACCCCGTAGAACTTGGTATTTGTAATCACTTGAGAACATTTACCTTATAGGAATGTCATACGTTAAGCGTATGCAGTTGTGATACCTATTTGTAATGAATACGATCGCTTATAATATTCCTGTAATTCTACAGGAACACAGCTCTGAGTACTCATCTAGAGGGTCTGGTGTTGGAGCGGGCCCGCTTCGAACACCTTGTCATTTCAGAGCTTCCATCAAGAGAAATGATAATCAGTCGTTATTCTCTGCTTTCTTTTGCAGTACGCTCTTCTGGCAGTAATGGGAGCATATGTACTGCTGAAACGGGAATCCTAAAACCAAAAGTCACTTTTCCAAGAGCAAAGTACGAAGTTAAATATACGGGGGAAAAAGACCTAATATATTTCAGATGTTTTCATTTCTGTGAACAGTCACAAAACTGTGCAAGCTTTTGTCTTGTCTAAATAAACTGTACAACGAACGAGAAAAGCTTTGGCTGTTGGTTAATTATGTAATGGCATATTTACTGCCTTAAGTAGATGCTGCTTTCGGTTCGCCTTTTGCTTGTCTGGAAGACACCGACTGTCAGGTGCTGAAGCGGCTTATGGCTGCGTTGCTTCTCCAAAGTGGCACTGCATCGGGACCCACTTTCTCCCTCCTGTTTGTTTGGGTTTTTTTCCGTGATTATTTCTGTTCTCTGTCAGCACCCTCTCTTTCCACAACCGTACAAATTGTTTTTACCAGCACCTGTAAGGACACGGCACACAGCTGTAGGAGTTCAGTCAGGCTTATGCCTAGAGAAAGCTGTCTGGAACGGCTGGCACGAACAGACCAGAAAGGGTCTCTGATGAAGAAATGAGGAGTGGAAACGTGGAGCTTCTTCCCTGAATTTGAAACTCGTTCCTTTGCGTTGTAGGGACAAAAAACCCCGATGGCCTGATTTTCAGAGGCCTAGTTTTTAGGGTCTGTGTGTGTTTCTAGAATTCAGGCTGCTGACTGTTCTGCCTTTATGCTCCTGGCTATAAAGCAGATGGAACAGAAGGATTTGATGGGGCCTTATTAACACTGGTGAATTATGGGGTGAATGGCGCAGCAGTGTACTTCGGTCATGTTACCAGTAGGGTAAGACATAACTCGTATTCCACTTTTGGGAATGTATTGTTCTCTTCTACCATGAGATACCTGAAGAGTGTTAAACATAAAATGGGTTTTTCATTTTTCAGACCTACCTGATAACTGTCATATGTGAAACTGGATTTTTTTCTTTTTGGCTTCAAATGTCAATATTGGGCCTTCAACAAAGCAAAACTTGTTTTCCTCGTTTGCTTTGGTTTTGTAGCTTTGATAAGGAACAGCGTGATGCTTTTTTCCTATGGAGTTTTGTTTCTTCTGTAATCCCTTACCTCTACAGAAATACACCATTATGCAATAACAGCGCCTCTCCTCTTGTAACTGCTAGTGCTGAAAGGCAGGCAACTGCTGAATCTTTCCAAGTAATATTGCTGCTTTTGTGTTCTGCTAAGCAGTTTTCATGACAAACTGCATTATAAACATGACTTATTTTGTATCCAATTGTGTAGAAATAAAATGGAGTATAATAAATGGCGTATCAGAATAATTTAGGTATCCTTAATGCAGTCTTCCCAGAAGTGGACCATCACAGTGAAGAAAAAATAATGTAATTTTCGGAGACAGTGTATGTGTTTGTTAAATGTTTTTTTTTTTTTTTTTTTTTTTAGTGTTCATGCTCAGAAAGAGAGGTGGTGTTTCTGGGGTTTGATATCCTGTGTCTTGGCTTAAGTCTTCGTAAATCTTAACCTGCAGAATTGACTTGCACAGAGGAGCTGCCAGTGTTGCTGTATCTGCTCTTCCAGAGAAGTGTTGGGTGGCAGCACGGGCCCAGTTTATTCTCCTGGTTTTGGCTGGATGCATTGAGACCTGCTAATTGCATCCCCTGAAGCAACTGGTCAGCCCCGTAAAATAACTTGTTCAGCTTTCTCTTTTGTGATAAACAATAGCTTTTTTCCCAGCTCGTAGGACCAGGTGCCGTAACGATAAACCTTGTATAAACATGGAGAGTTCCTGCCTGCGTGGGAAGGGCATGAAGAAGATGGAGGTAGGCTCTTCTCAGCGGTGCCCCGTGACAGGGCACAAGACAATTCCACCTGACCACTTAAAAAAATCTACTCTGCACGTTGAACACTAAAACAGGCTAAAAACATGGTAAACCTACAAAAGCAGGGTATAGCTCCTCTTACGTAGGATAAAAGACTTCCTTTTTTAGGAATCTCATAATTGTTTCTAAGGAGATGCTCGTAGTTCTTCAGCTGATCGCTAGCAAGCTTACAGTGTCTATGAAGACAGACATTGGTCTGCCAACTGGTGGCGGCTCCGTTCAGGCGTGTTTGGCTGCCTCTGAATGCCTGGAGGTCACTCGCAGCCACCTGGACGGGGTTGCTCCTCATCCTGTCCCGACGTTGGTTCCCGTAGTTGTCTGAGCTGTTTCAATCCAACCACGTCCACCTCTGACGAGCTACTGGACAGCACTGCTTACTCATTTGCTTAGAGGAGAAGTCAGGGAGGGAAGGAGTACCTAAAGTTTTGCCCAGAATCTGCATTTCTGGTATAAACCCTTTTCTGCTAGAATCTGTCGGTTCCTAGGCTGATAAGCAATGATAAATGGCTCGATGGTGAAATGCGCATCAGGAGAATGTTGTCTTTCTGCTGGGAGTAAATTGCTTGAATGACTTAATGTCTACTAAATGTTATTAGTGTTTTCAGCAGAGAGAAGGCAGTCTGCTATTCGATGTATTTGGTAACTGAATGTTACCAGCTCTTCCTGCTAAAGAACGAGTTTGAAAGCGACTTTGCGTGTTGCAGCTGATCTTAATCCAGCAGCTCCGACTGCTGAGGTGGGATGATCCTCCTGTGGCAGAGAGTGTGGTCACGCGTCTCTCTGTGCAAGCTCTTGTGTTTGGTGGAGCCAAAGCCACTTGCGAGCCCAGGAAGAAGCTGGTAGCTCTGCCATCGCGCAGGCTCAGCAAAGTGTGCGGCAGGGGGGGAAAGCCAGGAGCACGGTGGGGGCAAAGGAGCAGGAACGGGTTTTGCCTTTGGGAACAGTGAGCTGTGTTTTTCCCAACTAGTTTGTGTTTAAAACTTAAGCAGGATGTGAAGGTCCTCGAGTGTGTCCGGAGGAGGGCACCCAGGCTGGTGGCGGGGCTGGAAGGCGTCTGGGGAGCGGCTGCGGCCTCCGGGTTTGTCTCGTTGGGAGAGGAGGAGGCTGAGGGGCGACCTGGGCGCTCTCTGCAGCTTCCCGGGGAGGGGACGGGGAGAGGGGGGTGCTGAGCTC